TGAAAGCTTATTTCTGTTCATTTTGTCAGTCTGTTATATTAACCCCTTTTACTAATACTTCAGTTTGAGATGTGTTCTTCAGTGCGCTCTTATAAAGACGGCTTGTGATACAGAAACCTGTGTTTGTTCAGAATTAACAGACACAAAAAGTTCATTAAATTTTTCCGTTCTGGTATTATCTTTTACGACCTCTCTGTATATAGCTTGATTATCTCTTGGCTCTCCAGACTCTTTAGCTGTCTGATCCTGATGTGTTTGAAAAATTCATTATACCTTTAACCTTTTTTTTCCCCCCTCTCATTCAGACACAAATTCAACTTTTTGAAGAACTGTTTTGCTTCTAATAGTCTATCATACCCTACTGCTTAGCTGTACCTGCTTCTTCTTGGTCTTCCGAAAGGTTTTTTTCTTTTTTTTCTTTTTTGGTGGACTTCCTATAAGCCTCCAAAGTGGTGTTTTCTCTTGTTGAAATTCAGTCCTCCTGGCTTTTGGGCACTGGCTCTTAAGCTTATTATGGACCCTCTTAGAGTAGCTCTTTGACATTAAGTTTGAACTTGATTCAGCACAGAGCACACAATTAAGAGCTGCTTTTTGTCTTGTGTTCTACAGCTGGTAGCTCTGTGAAACAGTCATTTCCAGCATCTAAACTTCTTGGCATGGTATTATACAACACTTACATAAAATAATCATGAGTTTCCATTAATGTAGCTTCTCCCTCATGTATTAGTCACTTTTTAACTGACATCCTCTTAGCAGTACAGATTTCCTAGAAAAGATTGAAATTTCAATCCATCATTTTTTTGTTACTTCCAGGTAGTATGTGGCATAATGAACTTATGCATGGCCTACTCTGTCTTGTATTTTTTTTGTTCCCTGCTATTAAAGCATACTGTTAAACGTTTTCCTTCCCTTACATTTCTGATATGCCTATTCTGTCAATATTTTTGTTTAAAGGTAATCATTCCAATCCCTCCCATTGTACCGTTGACTTACAGCCTTGTCCAGAAGCATGGATTCATTTATTAGATTTTATTAGTTCATTCTATTTCACAGTGCCCTATTTAGTTTGGACTGTTTGTCCTAAATGTTTTTCTTTATTTCTTTTTTTTTTTTTTTGTCAGCTATCTTTTTCTAGAGGATTAAGAATTTTTATTAATTGACATCTGGAAGACGTGTCCTTCTCAACTGCTTGTTCTTCTATACTTGTGATCTTTTCCCCAGTCCCAGCTGAAAATTCCCTGTTAACTTTCTCATTAAGTTCTGGGTGTAGTTTAAATCACGTTTTGTTGAAGTCTTTCTATTCAGAATCCCTCTGTTCCATCATTTCCCCAGTTCCTAATGAGTCTGAGATTTCTTCCTTTCGTCATTTTCTCAAACAGACATTGAAACTTTACTGCTATATCTTTCCACTTAGTCCTCTAACTGATTGCTAGAAACATTTCAGTGAATACTACTATGGAGGCTCTTGTCTGTAAGTTTGTACCTAGCAGCCTATATTTTGCCTTCAGAAACATCTCTTCTATGCTATGAGTTTAGTTTAAAAAAATAAATTAATAACGTATGTGCTTATGTATTAAAGCAGCTTTTGATTTCCTCTTCGTATATATGCCTATATAAAATGGAGAAAAAAGAAAACGTTAATTTTCCGTAGGATTGTTATCACTTGATATTCAGCAGTTTCTATTTAGAAAATTTTAAGTTTAGAATTTGGTTATGGTTGGTATGTAAGGTACTAGAATTCCATTAAGAAAATGAAATTATCAAGTTGGGGGTGAAAAAAAAATTAAGCAGTTTTTGGTGAGAAACTCTCCTATGCCTGGCTACTTCTAATATATACACTCAATCAACCCTGTATTTTCTCAAGACCTATAGTCATGAAATGGTCTCTCATTCTGGAAGTCCTATAACCTGAATGTTCTTTGAAACAAGGCATTTCAGGTTCAGTTCCACTACCCTGATCTTTTGTGGTGATTTGACTCTTCTGTTAGGACATCGTAGTATAGGCAGTTTAATCAGGTTATTATTATATGTCTACCAGTATTTTTCCTGTGTTGACCTGAATACCTAATTTCTGTCAAGCATTGACTTGGAATGAAGAAATTATGGGATGGAGACTTCTGTTAGAATTTGAGTTACACATGACAGAGTACTAACAATATGCTCTCCTAATGTGCTAATGTTCTGCGCTCTCGCAGAATATCTGAGAGACTGGGTTTAGTTAACACTGACAGCTGTAAAAAATAGGCATTTTCTTTCTATCCTTGGGATGAACTTATTATCTGTGTGCTTAACTTGATTTATAAAATGTTTTTGACTTACATGCTCATCATAATGGAAAAGAAATGTACTAAAACATCTCAGACATTCATGTTAATATTGTACTCATTACTCTTTACAATTATTGGATGAGCAGCTGTAGAATTTGGGATGTAGCAAAGTTAAGAAATGATTTAGTGTGTATGAACCATGTGGCTTTTGTTCACATGATTATGTCTGCACGTTTCACAGGGTAATTTTAATTCAACATTATTGCGGTGATATAAAGCATACAGCAAAAAGTTTTTTTTTTAGGAAGAGACTTACTACTGAGTAGTCTGAAATAATCTACCAATGAGAATAACTCTAGCATGATATTTTGCCAAAATAAATCTTGTATTTTTCTTAAAAGTAAAAATCTTCCCCTCCTTTCTGAAACAGAAACAGTTTTGGAGTGAGGAAAGTTGGTATCAGTAAATGAAAAATGGGAGCAGCAATCCACTGAAGACATTTGGCTTACAAAACATTAGTTTAACTAATGGCGAAACATAGAGAGGTTAAGTAGTCAGGGTGATGAAAGATTTATTGAACTCACTCTATCTGGAAAGATTAGTAGAATACATTTAGGAGGCCTGCTCGTTTTTGAACAAATTAGAATCAAAAGGCTTCATCCTAAAGTATTAATTCCAAGACAATATCACCGTGTTTAAAAAAAAAAAAAAAAAAAAAAAAAAGCATTCTTATCTAAAGATCCCCAGTGTTCTTTGAGTCTGGAAAATAACATCTGCTGAATGATCCAAAAGCTGTTCATCTGAGCATTAATATGAAGAAATACTGGATTTGAGGTAGAGGTGCTACTAAGATAAATTGGGAACCTAGGAGTTTAAATTTTGGTAGCATGAAAAAAGCTGAGGAAAGATTGTGTTTTCCATCCCCCCCCGCTCCTCAGAAAGATCTATATTGACAGATTTCAAGTGCCAGCAGTTCTCAAAGATGTTTTTTATTTTTTATTTTTTAATTGTTCTCCCTCCTCTGTTTCTGGAACGGTTTGTCTCCTTCTTCTCTATATGTCCTTATTCATATTTTAGTTTTGAAACTGGACTAGCACTGCTTTTCCATATTGTACAAGAACTCCAAGATACTCCCCATGCCCAACCAGCACCAGCAAGTGAGAAATGAGGCTGAGGAAAGTGCTACCTGCCAGACCCTGCCTTGTTCCCCTGCCATTTTGAGGGGGATAATGTGTGTGATGCCATCTATGGGGGGCTGAGTAGGTGAAGCTCTGCTTTCCTAATGGAAGGAGATCAAACTGAAAATTATTGCCCCTTTTTTTCTGAGTTTCAGAAATGGGAGGTTGGATGTTGCCTAGGGACATGCTGTAAATAACAGACATCTAATCTGGAAGGCTAGCTTCTTCATATCTTTTCTCTGTAAGAAAGTGAGGGGGAGAAAGCAGCTGTGGCCTAATGGCTACATTTGTAAAAGTACATAAACCACCAGGTGCTTTCTTCTGCCTTGCTTCTGCCAGGAATAACAAACTGCAGGTACTGGGGGGAGTGGGATGGTCAGTGCTTGGGTTGCCCACACAGAGCAGACTCTGCTCCTCCACACAGCGGCGATGTCAGTGCTTGGGTTGCCCACACAGAGCACCTGGCAGACTCTGCTCCTCCAAGATTGCAGCTTGGGCTGCAGATGAGCTGGTCCCATCATAAGCTGCCTTCTCCTCGTGGCTCACCTCCTCATGTGTGTTCCTTATGTCCTTGTCCCACACCCCATTTGATGATAGGTTTTTAACTCAGCCTCAAAATGCCTGTGCCTGTGCCTCAGAGCCAGCCTTAATCTTCCTTTTATGGTTGGAGTCCACGTGGGCTTTATCATTATATTTTTCTTGTAACCTTTCCACAAAGAGAGATTTTGTTCTACTGTAAGGTCTTAAGGTCTTATGTTGTTGTTCTAATTACTACAGCTGATTTGATAATATCCCAAGGTTCAGGGTCATACACCGCTAAAGCACATTGCAGAAATGTAATGACAAAGATAGTTTTTGTTCCAGTTGTTACAGCCTTTTGACAATAGGTCTCCTTCATTAGATTCTGTGGTTGCAATTATCTTCCCTTTCCTCCTCTTACTTCTGTTTATCTGCTTGTAGGGCAGTCTTTATTGCCATATAAGATCATTGTATGATGGAAACTATTTTGAATAGTTCTTATGCAATTATGAAGATTACATGGCCCTCAGTAATAGCATGATGATTAGTTAACATAATTGGCGAACTTGAGCAAAACATTCTTGTATAATTGTGGAAGGCTACTTTTGTGATCCATCTGGCCTGCCCAGATAATTAAGTTATCGTTGATCAATCATTGAGGAAAAAGACACAGCAGGTAGTTGCATGCTAGAGGTTAGGACATTGAAGTTTTGTACTGTAAGGAAATACTTTTTATTTCCAGTTACTGATTTCCTTTTTGGGGGGAAAGTAGGTACACATTGCCACTGGTCTAGAGGCATGTTTGAGCCCATTTGATCTGAACTATATCAAGTAGAGCAGTATTCCTAACATTTTTTAAAAATAATTTTTCTTCCCAGCCACTGATGTAAGATTCCATATGTAGGAAGGATTCTTGACAAAATAAACAAGGAGTTAATTCTACATTTGCCTATCAGTAACATCTGCTGACTGGCTGAAGCAATATATATGTAGCGTATGCGTTCAAGGAGTTGATTATATTCTTGTGTGTCCCTAGGAATCCGTAAAGACCGCAGAGGCGGGCGAATGATGAAACAAAAACGTCAAAGAGAGGAGCAGGATTCCAGGAACGGAGAGGCTTCTTCTACGGAGCTGAGAGCTCCCACCCTTTGGACAAGTCCACTTGTGGTGAAACATAACAAGAAGAACAGTTCGGCCCTGTCCCTGACAGCAGAGCAGATGGTCAGTGCCTTGCTGGAAGCTGAGCCACCCATAGTTTATTCTGAGTATGATCCAAATAGACCTTTCAACGAAGCCTCTGTGATGACTCTGTTGACCAACCTTGCAGACAGAGAATTAGTGCACATGATCAACTGGGCAAAGAGAGTTCCAGGTAAGGAAAAAAAAAAAAAGCCCCAGTGGACTGTAAAAGGCTCGGTTTGACAAATCGATTAAAAAAATTACATCTACCATTTTCCAATCTCCACATAAGATTTTTACTTTGCTAATTTCACACAAATTGTTCACGTAAGTACAAATGCATAAAAATATCACAAATTTCATGTTATGTTTGTTGGCAGAAAGCTATACGGCAGTGAAAGTGACTTTTAAAAGATTTATTCAGGAAAATCTATTTGCCCTAAACTATAGAATGTGGTACAGTTTGGGGGTTGCAGATCCTATTTTCATATAACAGACAGCAAAAGTCAAGTTCAGCAACAGATTAGCAACAGCCTAATTTAAGCAATTTGATCTAGCCTAATTACGTTAACTGTTTAGACCCCTTTGGAAAAAAGGGTTGCTAAGATGTCTGTAATGTATGCTGTAAAATCATCATCTCTACTGATCCCATAAGTATTAGTATCTAGTCATTATGTAGTTTAATTGCCAGGTTTATCTTGTTCAAGCATTCTATCTGCCTTAAGTTTCATGTCTGGAAACAGAGAGATAGAACAGCAGTTTTTTATGAAAAAGTTTTCCTACTGAAACTAAATGTTTTTATCTTAATCATTTTGGTGCATGGCAGTTGTTTAACTTTAACCTCTCATTTCTAGAAGGGAATTTTGGAATTGAGGGAAGTATAGTACATTTTTGGTTGACCATCAGTTACACATATGCTCATAATCTATTCTTCAATGTGGTTTAATTAATTAATGCCAGTGAAATGAGAGAGTGGTTTCATAATTAGCCTAAGTTCACCATTTTTTAAAGTTTCTTTTTATTTTCTTTGCTGTATTAATTTTCACCTGGATTGGTTCCTGCCCTGGGTAACCACATGGTTGTCTGAGCACTAATGCTATCACTAACGCCAGACAAGACTGAGCAAGTTTCCTGTTTGGGCAGGATGCTGTGCTTAGACTGGCTTCATTAACTTAATTATATGTTGTTCTAAGTTAAGTTTGGGGGCTATTTTTAACCTGGATCATTTCACTGACCCTAAGCCGGAAAGTTTCTCCACTTTTCCATTTAAATAGCTAGTTTAAAAGAACCACCTGAGATTTCCTTCCACAAACATCACTTTCCCGTCATTCCTAGATTTCATAACTGCTTCAACCCAAATTTTAAAGCAAATGTGTGGGACCAGCTGGTCCAGAAGACGTTTCTTGGTCACAGAATAAACCTTTTCCTGGTCTGTCGTGACTGAAAATCAAAGCAGTGAAAAGATTCATTAATTCATGTGAAAGAGACTAGTTCTCTTGGATCTATTACTACTTATGGCATTAAATGCACGTATTGCAGTATTGCAGTAAAGTGCATGTATTGCACAAGTGGTGCAGTTGGTGTCAATTCAAGCAGTATGATTGAGGTATGAATAGACATTTTAAAAGTCTCTGAAGTTCACCAGAATTGAAAGTTACTCATAGGGCAGTCTGGGGAAGATTATGTTGTTAATGGAAAAGCTGTTCTGTGGCTAAAACACAGAATTAAGTCTCCAGGGCTACTTGTCTTAAATTAACATGTAATTATTTATTAAAAGCATGCTGTGCATGCTGTAGTTTTAGCTTCATAGTAATACCAGTATACATGGTAATTTAGACTTTGTAATTCATTGAAATTCTAATCTCTTAAATTTCTATTGTAGGCCTTTTTTCATGAAAATTATGTAGCTGTTTTTACGAAGGGATGTGAGAGAACACTACCACAGCTTTCACTCACTATTACAGAGTGCATTACCTCTACATCATTACCTAGGTTATGCCATTTTCCTGCTGTCTTTCGTTTAAACCTGGCAAGGCTCTTCCTGGTAAATCAATAACCCATAAAATCTGAGTCTTTTCCAGTCCTCATGGGTTCTCTTTTTACCATTTTTCACATGTCACTTTGTGGGCTCCAGCTATGATCAATGAGAACCTGTGAGTGTTTCGTTTCTCATCGTATCTCATAAGAAATCACGAGTTGCAGTGGTTAAGGCCTGATCCAGAATCTGTTCAAGTCCAGAGCAGTTTTTCCTGTTAATTTATACACACTTTGGATCATGCCTTCACAAAATTCTTTTTAAAAATAAAAATGTAGTCTATAGTGATTAAATCTATTCATTAACAAAACAGGTAAATTCAAATGACTTCTCTACTGATTTTACACACATACTTAATCTAATTCTGTTAAAATCTTATTAATTTACAACCAATATGAATATGCTACATTCTAAATTCATTATGCTACCTAAATCTATTCCAGTTGGAAACGTTTGTCTGCTATGACATTTGATTTGGATAGTTAATGTAATTAGTCAAAATGTGTTTACATGCATAGCAACTGTGTTAGGGAACTCAGATCTATTCTTTATTGTAATTAAGCTACTTATGATATCTCCATAAAACTCCTTGTCACAGGATGATTTCATCTGGTAAAGATCAAAAAACAGCTTGCTTTACCAAATACACTTTTATTTCTTAAACAGTGTTCTGAAATCTGAAAAGCAAACGCATACAGTTATCAAGTATTTGTGTATATTCTGTCTATTTTACATTTAAATAAAAGTGTCTGTTAAGTGCCAAAATAGCTCTTAGGAAGAAATTGAGACAAATGACCTACGTATATACATGAGTAAGTACTCTTACAGGTGATGTTTGGTATAAAATGGGTGAACTTGGGTCAAAAAAATCCCTTTCCAGCGACAGTTTGATCTGTTAAGCACCATATGAAAAATCATACTGAATCGAAGTCCTAAAACAACAGAGACAGAAGTATGATTCGTTTGGGGGTTCTGAAAATCGTGTTAGCTCGACACCTGGCTGGCTGGGGTCATGGCTTGAAAATACTGTATGCATGTCCAAAAGCAAACTTAAAGTGTTTTAGAAACTTAATTAAAAAAAAAAAAAGACTGAAAAAGACTGAGGCCCAATAGAGTCTCTACAATTAGATTCTCTACAGGGTTTTTGGAGTAGAAATTTTTGACCTAGCTTTAAATCGTTTCTTGAATCTGTCGCTTGGTCCTAGCAAAGGTTCAGTGTCCTTAGCACCTACTTAATCTTTAGCACCTTTAGCAGTCCTTTAGCGTTATCAAATCTTAGAAGTGCTGATCACCTTTCAAAGGCAGAGCCTTTGCTTAGACTGTTTGCCTAAGGTTCCTTCTGCTGGAATGTACAGGCAATAACTGTACTCCAAGAGAAATGTGTCAGGTAATATAAATTATATTTTCACTTCTGCTGTGTGTTGCCTTTGAATACTACTTTATTCCTAAGAATTATGTAATACTGCTTTGTTAGAGAGTATTTTTATATACTTTATGCATAAACAAAAAGGAACTGAAATACTGCTTTTTCTGTTATGTGAAGAATTTTTTAAAACACCATTGTGTGATTCCACTCAGTTATTTTCTCAGTTAATTTACTAAGGCTTAAGGCTTCAGAATCGAGGATGAAAACAATTTTTCTAAAGACCGTTTATGCTTTTTACCAGTAGAAAGGCAGTTAAAGGAAACAGCCTCACCTGTGTGCACCTCTTGATCCTCAGAAACATTGCACAAGTTCACTTACCTAAATGCAGGCACTTAGCTGAGGGCAAGGAAGGAGTAAAGTGAATATGAGTGGCTGGATTGAGGGAAGATTGAGAAGTTGATATTAAAAGAGCAGAAATGCTTGCAAATAAACGTAAGGACTTTCAGGGATGTGTTTGGAGGTTATCTTGCTGTGTAGGCAGTAAGCAGTATGTCAAAGCATTTAGTAAAGTCCTTGTTTTGGTCAGCCAGTCTTTCTGCTGATGGAAGAAGAAACAGCTAGTTAGAAGGTGGACTGTTTAGTTTAGATGGAAATCTATTTTACAAAAAGGAATAATGAAAATAGATTTCTGATGGGCTGCCTAGTATAATAGAGACAGAAGTTGGTAGTAGAGCCATGCTGAGGACAGTTTCCCAGTTGGGGTGGATACCTCTGCAGGCCTGCCCTGATTGGGAAGTCATTGTGATAACTGCTCTAACTACTTATTTATTTATTTTAACTTCTTCAACATTAGTTTGAACTTTTGACTTCATGTTGACAAGTTTTCCTAAGCTGACCCTGCAGTCTTGGTGATGTTAACAAATTGCTAGGGAAAAGAGAGTTTGTAGGAGCTTCTTCTGCATAACCTTAGAGAATAATCTTTAGCGTCTAAGTATAACATGACTGTTAACTGAGGTCATAAGAAAGTTCTCTCATGACAATGCAATTTGTAATATGCCAAATGCATTGAAGTTTGTTTTAATTTTCCTTTGAAATCTTGGCCACTGGTGCAATTAGGTTTGCCAGATGACATGCACAAAAAAACCCTGGTACAGTGCCCTATGACATATGCAAAAAATTCGGGAAACTCCCGAAGACCTCTTTACATGGCCTAATGAGTGTTTTGGCTTAAATCCTTTCAGATGGTCTTTTAAAGACAGCAGTGGTGCCTTCTTATTACCCAAGACAGCTGGAATAGCCAGCAGCTGCACACAAGGCAGGTGCAAACAGATTGCCATGAGCTAGAGTTTGTGCACGCATGTGTGAACTGAGCCTTTTACCATTTAATTGGGATAAACCACTAAAATGACTTTCAAGTACGGTATCAGAAGAGATGAACAAAGGTCCTGCTCGTTTCTGAATCATATAATCCCGAAGAATACAGCTCTCTCTTCTCTTCTTGGCCTAGATAGCATGTTAGGGATATACTACAGCCTTCAATCTCATAGAATAGGGTTTTCTAGTGAATTTTGCTCATGGTCTTTGTTCCAGTGAGCAAGAACGTTTGCTATTCTACAGCAATGCTGATATGTCAAAGGAATTAACACATCATATTTTTTTATTCACTTACTGTGTATATCATCCATTTTTGGAGTAACGGAATTCAATACTTCCAATGTGATGATCAATAATGCTTTTTTTTGTAGAGAAGCTCTTGAGATGTTAAGATGTATAACGAGCATATATAGTGAGT